CCCCTCTCTTTTCCTCCGTACCCAAATCTCTAAAAACGGGGGAACAACGGAGCTGATCCAGATTTGCGTCCGATATGACGTAATATCTGAAATGTGGACCCACGGCCCAATCAGAAACGTTGCTATCAGAAACAATGCCCGATTGTTTTGGACGTAATATGGTCGGTGTTTACATTAGCATCGCTAACACTCAGAGCTAACCTGTACTGGAGAGCATGTGTGTGAAGAAGCAGGAAGTAAAAAGGAACTCACCTTGTGGTATAACCGGCAAGAGAGAAAGCCTTTGAGCTCCATACTGTTTCAGAGATAATCCTTGATAATCCATGATATGGCGTTTCATCACCGCAGTATTTAGTTTAGACAGTAGCTGCCGGGTCCCACATGAAAAAAAAACCTTTATTTTTATTTGTTTTATTTAGCCTTTATTTATACATGTGAACATCTCATTGAGACACAGGGTCTCATTCTCAAGAGAGACCTGTTTATACCCAGAATCAGCACTTTTGGAACAGGAAGTGAAATAGAGGGATATGAGGCTACGTCAATGCAGGCTTCAACACAACCAATAATGCACGTAAAGTGTTCGTACCGTTTTCTGGAGACAGTTTATCGTAGGCGTCTTCGTAGATGTAGTTTCGTCTGATTGTCACGCTGATGCCGTCGGGAAACGGACCGTCGCCCTGCACGTCCCTTTTGTCGGCGTAGATTAACCTCTGGAAGATCTACAGGACAGACGTGAGGGTCAGTGACAAGTCCTCTCAGATGGAAAAGTATAGATTCTACTGTATATCATTTTTGCTTTGGCTTATTGAGGGGCATTTTATGTCTTCTGTTGGTAGATTAGGGCACAAAGAAGGTGGGAAAAGAGGATTAAAGCAACACAAGATCAACTCAAACTAAAGAAATGCACCATTAAGCAATACCAATGAAATCAAGGCAGGGGTCTTGGGCGTAACTCAGACAAAAAACTAATCCAAGGAACCTTTATTCAAATACTTGACACCACATGTGATTTTTCCCCACCACCATTTGGGTTTGGGTTTAACTTGACAGAAGCTTTCATTTTTTGCTCAGTTTTCACCGAATGAGACCTTGAAGTACTTCCAAATAACTAACATGCTCCATAATAAAACTGTGTACCGATATACTCCCCAAAAGTATGTCAAAGGGCTTGAAAGCAGCACCATGATGGCTAAAAGTAGCACTGCTCCACATGCAAAATGGGATGTTATTGTATAATTGCATGCATGTTTCACAAAAACACAGCAGCAGTATCTCCTGTCCTGCAGTACTCGGTAGTAGTACATGTTTTTATGGTTGTGTGTGAGATAACGGTGCGTTACCTTGACTCGCTCCTCGAAGGGAACCACGAAGGGCAGCTCTGTGAGGATGGCCAGATGTCTCTCTTCAGACACTGACAGCTGAGGAGGCTCCAAACCAACTGCAGAGAGACAAGACAACATGTTAGACCGTTTACTCATCAGCCTTTCTACTGTCTCAAACCACATTTTTGTATATAAATAAATATATATATACATACATATATATATATATATACATACATACATATAGGTCACTAGGGAAGCTTTTGGTCCGTATCACTGCCTAAAGACTGGCTAATGTGTTTGTATTTTTATTTACTAAGACTTAGATTAAGACTATGTACCAGTAGGGTCACTACATACTGATATACACCTGAACATCAGCAGGAGAGGACTCTTTAAAGTAGAGTCACTACATACTGATATACACCTGAACATCAGCAGGAGAGGACTCTTTAAAGTAGAGACACTACATACTGATATACACCTGAACATCAGCAGGAGAGGACTCTTTAAAGTAGAGACACTACATACTGATATACACCTGAACATCAGCAGGAGAGGACTCTTTAAAGTAGAGACACTACATACTATACTGATATACACCTGAACATCAGCAGGAGAGGACTCTTTAAAGTAGAGACACTACATACTGATATACACCTGAACATCAGCAGGAGAGGACTCTTTAAAGTAGAGACACTACATACTGATATACACCTGAACATCAGCAGGAGAAGACTCTTTAAAGTAGAGACACTACATACTGATATACAACTGAACATCAGCAGGAGAGGACTCTTTAAAGTAGAGACACTACATACTGATATACACCTGAACATCAGCAGGAGAGGACTCTTTAAAGTAGAGACACTACATACTGATATACACCTGAGCATCAGCAGGAGAGGACTCTTTAAAGTAGAGACACTACATACTGATATGAACCTGAGCATCAGCAGGAGAGGACTCTTTAAAGTAGAGACACTACATACTGATATACACCTGAACATCAGCAGGAGAGGACTCTTTAAAGTAGAGACACTACATACTGATATACACCTGAACATCAGCAGGAGAGGACTCTTAAAAGTGAGACACTACATACTGATATACACCTGAACC